GCTCTCAAGCCACAGAAGCGCATGCGTCGAAGACTCGATCGCGCGACACGAGGGGGACCGAGCCATCCGGCTCCACGCAAGGATCGGCATCAGTGAGCACAGCCGAGTCCTTTCAGGTGTACACATACTGGAGGAAAGAGAAGCTTTGTTTCTTGAACAGGCAAGAGGAAGAAGTCAAGACAGCACTCCAAGATTGGGTAGAGCAAGTGTTGGATGATGGGAGCAAGTATTTCTACTGGCAAAGTCCCAAGTCCGGGCGGGTGTTTTGGACAAACTCACTGGCCAAAGAACCTAGGAAAAGACGTAGCGGCAACTAGAAAGCACCACCGCGCGTACGCCCTGATTGATCACACAACTGTACCGCTTGTGTATTAATCTGACTAACCCTTTTATGGAAAGTGGTGAAGGTGTCGCGCAGAGATTTTGTGGCAAGTTGGCAAGCCTGTACATACAATTAAGGGCTGTGGTGTTATTCGCTTGATAATGAACTTTTTCATGAGCAAAGGAGAATCACTATGATACGATAATACAAATGTGCAAGCGCTAATCGAACGCCTTGAGTTTTGAGGAAAAAAAATTTTTTGCTTCTGCTGCCATGATGCTTCTTATAGTATTGCGTAGCTCTGCGAGTTTCCAACGGATTTGACCGTGTCACTCAGGCTTTCATCTTCCCAGATTCCTCATTCTTTCAGTTCCAACTGTCCGCCTTCAATTTGTTGAAAGCCTTTGTGAAAAGCAATGACAGCTAGTTGTAGCCGGTCAATGACGTATTCAACTTCGTCGCAAAGATACTCGCCGAGTCGTCGGACATCTTGCAAGTACGCGACTTGGGCGCGAAGACGTCCGACTTCACGCGTTCTTTCCACGATAATTTCCTCTGGGGAGTGTTTGGTGGGTACTTTGGTAGCTTCAAGCTTATCGCGAGTGGCATCTAGTGAGACAGACTCGCCGTGTGCGTTTGCCATCTCTCTGTCGATGGGGCGTGGACTGGCAGGTCGATCTATGTTATGACAAGTATTTGACAACTAAATAGGAGCCAAGATTGATTACATATGCGAGCGTCCTGAAGTATGTGTTCGCAGCGGCGCGAGCCCTACTTGAGACATCTCACTATTGAAGAAGTTGACATGTGCGTGGGTCGAAACCGGCACCCTACGTCATCAGAAACATATCAGTTCTGGGGATGAGAAATAAAGAACCAGGGGATGGCTTTCCGTTCCGCTACTGGGGTGCATGATCCGGCCCCGCTAGTCTGTTTCTGATTTCGGCGAAAAATCGTTCAGTCCCAAGATGGAGTTCAGGCATCAGTTCATTCCCACTTAACTGATCGTGGAGCCACTGTTTATATACGGTACAACACCGCAGCATGCCGACATTCCTGCTCTCCTTTTACGCTTACTGGAAAAGCTATCGTTACAACCTTCAAACTCAATCCTCGAGATCGCACGAGCCATATTCACCTAGTCAATCAACTTCAGTATGACGCTACCTGGTTAATCTGAACAACTCTTTAAACTGACCCACCGTGTCTAGGAATGACAGACAAACACGCAGTCATAGACCTGATCCTTCAATTCTACAAGAATTTTGATGCTCCGGCGGCATTGCCCGCAGTCATCGCTGCGATGATGACAGCATTTGATGAGATATCAGACCGGCAGAAAACAGTCTTTAGCAATTTGACAACAGGATTGTTCGGCAGTACCATCGTCTTGAGCGTCATTGCGTTGACTCTCAACAGATTGGTGCTCTTCAAGTTTCAGGGTCATAGATGTCTTACCAATGTCGAGCTGTGGATTCCGACGGGCTTGGTTGATACAGTATTGCCCGGCGGACTGCCGCCGCAAAGGTCGTCGCGTCGTGTTGGATTGTCTTTGTTTGAGCTGGCGCTGCAGGAAGCAGTGTGACAGTTGGGGGTAGTGTGAGAGAAGGCTCTGATTGATTGGAGAGGAATGTTCCGTTCCTCATGCCGGTCGGCAACTTATTCTTCCGGCAGGCCGTCGGCGCATGTCCCTTGGGTGGGTCGGTGGGGTGACTTTCGTTCCCCTCCGACGCTACTATCCAATCATCAGCCGCTTGGGTACGAATCGCGCAAAAGTACAGAACGTCAGCGCAGAAATATGCCTATGGACTTTTCGCGCTATCATGTGACTTTGTGTACTCGCAATTATCCGCCAACTTCGTCCACCGCAGACTGTCCCGCAATTACAGCCCATTTTCGTGACACACAACCGTCGTCAGTTAAGATGAAGGTATGGCGCACTACGTGGCGGAAAAATAGGATCRTGTACTCACGTGCAGGATCTTACAGATAATGATCAACGAGACATGGCGCGTCGATTACAGGATCGGTAAAGGCGGTTTTGGCCTCGTCTACGCAGGTACGTTTAGTTGGTGGCTTATGTTCATATTCTAGCATTGACCCTATAGGTACTGATATTCGCACCAACGAAGGTGTTGCAATGAAGTTGATGCATCATCGAAAAGAATGCGACATGCTCCAGGACGAAGCAAACACTTACCAAGCTCTTTCTGGTGGAGTTGGGATCCCTCAAGTGCTGTGGTTCGGCCGCCAGGATGACTATTACGTTTTGGTTCATACGCTTCTCGGCCCATCCCTGGAGGATCTATTGAATTACTGCGGTCGTCGCTTATCACTCAAGACTGTCCTCCTTATCGCGGATCAGGCAATTTCTCGGGTCGAGTACATTCATTCCAAAGGATTCCTCCATCGCGATATCAAACCAGACAATTTTCTCATGGGAGTCGGCGGGCAAGGCAATCTATTGTACACCATCGATTTCGGCTTGGCGAAGGAGGTTCGYAATAGAGAGACAGATCGAGCGCAAGGAACAGGTCGTCCCTTCGGCGGAACTAGGCGATATGCGAGCCTCAATAACCACAATGGACTCGGTACGTACAAGAGGCCAACCAAGGTCTTTTTTTCTACTGACAGCATCGGCGTAGAGCAGTCATGGAATGATGATCTAGAGTCTCTAGGATATGTACTTGTCTACTTGTCACGGGGTGAGTTGCCCTGGCAAGGCTTACGAGCGGCAACGAAAGGAGAAAAGGACGATCTAGTCAAAGAGAAGAAGATCAACACTCCGGTAGAATCGATTTGTGAGGGCTTGCCAGAGGAATTCGTCGCGTTTATCAAGTATACCAGGTCACTTGCGTTCCACGACAAGCCTGACTATGCCCATCTACGCCGCCGTTTCCGTCGCTTGTTCAAATCCAGGGGATTTGCATACGACAACGTATATGACTGGACTGAGAAGCGGTTTTATGAGATGCAGAGTCAAGCACCCGACGTCTCAGAGTCAGTGGAGGATTAATGTCGATAGAGGCCGGTGGAAACGATGGTTATTTTCGGCTCTGTGATTGATGACGCAACCTCACAGTCTTTATTTTCGAATGTTACCGTGAATAGCACGGTGATTACTTAGATTTGACAGATCACCTTCGATCTGGAGCTGACATGCCGGTATCATTGGCCGGTCTACATTTCTCGCAAGTGCGAAGGTCGATTCCMCCCTGAGCCCGCCATTCTTTCCCCAGTCCTCGCTATTCGTTCACTAATAGCATCAGTCGAGAGACTAACTTGGTGGTCTCGTTCGATCAAAGATAAAGAGTAAATTTGCCTTCTGCCCCTAGACTCTTTGCAATATGTGTAGATGATGGGCCAGGATGGACGCTTGGAGGCGTTTTCCGTTCCCCAATGCTAAGCGACAACATATCGTCACCTCATGCAGGCACTATGTGTGTTGTGATTGTCTTCATGAACCTGACTTCAGCGAGAGAAAAAAACTCTGGGCCATAGACGAGGATAGCACTGTATCGTGGGCATACCTAGGTATTTGAGTTAACTCATGAGTTTCGGTCCTTCCTAACTCACTCATATAAGTTTAACTCAGACTTATGTTTCAACTCACATAGTTCAGTCATGTGATATCGCCGACTTCCTTGATGCATGATATGCTGCAAAAATCGATTGTAATGCTTATCGAGTGAAATTGTAGAACATGAAAGATCACAAACCTACTTTATATCGCTAATTTCTGTTTTAGTATTAACTAGTAAGCTTTAATCTATTTAAGTAAATATATATAATATAAACGCTCTTACTCCTTAACTTGTGAAACTATATCCCACGCTCTCTTTCTCCCCTCATCTGTAATTGTCCATTTTACCTTATGTCTTAATTGAATAGACTGGTATGGGCGGGCTGCCATCCAGTTAGACCATTTTTCGATTACAGTAATGGCTTCTGTAGGTGGAGTTTCAAACCATTCCAAATGCTGCTTTAGGCAACAGTGGCAATCGACCCTAATTCTTCGATGGTCAAGCTCTGCATGACATAATGCCTCAACACGACGGGCATTTGGAATGTTAGTGGCAGTGCTTGGAGGACTGGGGAATAATACTTTGGGACTAATGAAACACTAAATGCCCCTGTCCGGGGTGCAGGGTAAGACGCGCTCGACGACCCAATACAAATAATATATTGCCAATATGGGCGACTGCGTATTATATTGTTACAATATGAAAAACCTCATATTATATTGTGACAATATGAAAAAGTCTATATCATATGGGTTATACTGTAGTATATTATTTTATTGCCATATTATTAGCAACACTGACCAGCGGCCCGGATACTGGCAGCTAGGAGAACCCTACCCCTCAGACACAGGCTGAGCTCAACACTACTGACAAACAGCCCATCCGCGCGCTTGTCAATGACGTGATTTCTCACACATGCCGGAGGGTTTTGATCATGTGGAAGCGTGTATTGCTGAAACAGAGGAGGCCCAGGAGAAAGCGTGGAGAGACCTTTGCAAGGAATTTGATGACCAAAGAGCCACCCTACGCTATCTCCATGGGACCTACTTGCCGGTCAGGGCTCAGTGGGCACGCTGGTATCTTCGTAAGCACCGTAACTTTCGTATCCGCATTACTTCGGGGCAGAGGCAAGCAACAACAACATCAAGAGCTATCTCTTGAACGGAATGAGCTACTTATATCGACTCGCAGAGCCGATGCGGTACGTGCATGGTTGAAGTTCAAGGGCGTGATATCAAGAATGCCTGCCCACAGGATGAAGTTCTTACTGCCCGTTAACACCGAGGATCGAGTGGATCTTACCTAGGTGATCTACGAACAGCGATTCCATGGAAGGTGTTTAGGTTAATCAATAAGTGATATCGTATTGCTCTTAAAGAGGTGGCTCCTGGGAAGTATTCCCTTGCTAGAGCCTTTTCTGGGCTGTAGCGACGACTGCTCAGCTTTTTTGTCAGCCCTGAAATCTCACAGTGTCTCAAAGTCTTTGTGAGATTCGGATCTGCAATATCTTTCACGAGATCCGATGTCCATCCATAATGGCGACTACGAAACATGTCATTTCAAGAGCCATGTCGACTGATTCTCGAGGCAACCTTCTTTGGTGTAACTACTATACTTTTTGACGATGGTCAAGATGCTATATTAATTGACGGGTTTTGCACTCGACCGTCATTTCTCTCCTGCTTTTCTCCAACCTTGGGCCTGACGGGAAAAAGATCGACAGCAGCCTTCGCAAAGCCGGGATAGATGGCAACAATTTGCGCGCAGTCCCAGTTTCGCATTCGCATTTCGACCATATCCTTGACTCGCCGCTGGTGTGCCAATGGACGGGAGCCGATATCGGTGGCTCAGAGTCGACAAAGATGGTAGGGTTGGGAAACAGCTTGGGCAAAGATCAAATCAAAGTTGTGGAAGACCAGGACGTGCTTTGTTATGGCCCATTCCGTGTTGCTGTGTTTGAAGGTATTCATTCGCCAGGCGACAGATATCCTGGAGGAATTGATTCCCCAATACAGACGCCATGCTCAATCAACGCACTGAAGACGGGAAAGACGTATTCATGGCTCATTGAGCATGGGGACAAGAAGGTTCTCGTGCTTCTCAGTGCCAACTTTGTGCCAGGCCAGCTCAAAGACGTTTGAGCTTCTACCCTGTTTTACGGCATGGGTCTTGTAGGCAAGCAGCCGGCAGAGTGGCAGGAGTAATACTGGCAAGAAACAGCTGGTGCCATCGGACCAAAGACTCTTATACCCATTCATTGGGACAACTGCTGGTATTCTCTCGACTATACGCTTTCACCGCTACCTTGGCCGATCGATAATTGGAACATTGGATATGAGTGGCTGATGGAGAAATGCAGGTTATTAAATATTAAGCTAACGTCCATGATAAGCGAGTGTTACAAACACGTGAGTGTTACAAAAATCCCTCAACCTACAACATGTCTACGTCGTCAACTGTTTCTTCACCACCCAATATGCCTGAATTCAATAGTAAAGCTAATGTTATTCTTGCACTTCGTGCCCTTAAAAATAACCGAAAATTAACTCTCTGACGCGCCGCAAAGATCTATAAGGTTGATCTAATAAGACTATAGCGCTGAC